AATGAATCGCTCCTAATTGTGAAGAATGGTTGTGCATTTATATACACCAACGATTGCTGATTCGAGACTGTCGATGTATATATCCGGCAACAAGTTCCTATTATCATTCACTGACTGCAACTATTCGATACACTTTATTATATTACATATACATAGTATATATATACACATTTTTCAACATTTCATTATCTCACATTGTCGTTTACATAAATAATTCATTTAACTATATCAGTATAATTGATATCGTTAGGTACAAATTTTTTATCTTAATATTGATGTAATGACAATATTTTACTAAATTCTCATAAGTTTTTTTTACTGTAAAATCTCTTAAAAACTTCTCCATTTTTAATTTTGAACGTATTTTAATCCTTGTAAAAATCATCGATTGAATTTATGTAAAATAAATCACTAAAATTATATTTAACTGATAATATGGACTCGCATAATTAAATCCCAAATGTAATTTGTCATAAAATCATTTGATATAAAATTAATTTGACATATACTCTCTAAATCTGAATTAGTAAATACGTTTACTAATTTGTATTAGTGACTAATTTTTTTCTTTAGAATTAGTAAAATTTTACTAATTCAGAAGCAAAAAGTGATTCACTAATTCAAATTAGTAAACTTTTTTATTAATTTAGATTTAGAGAGTAAATCTCATATGACGTGAATTTCACTTGACATAGGGGAAGGTGGGGGAATTGGAGCCCCTTAAGGAAAATGACTAGGGTAAGTCCGGGGGAGTTGGCCATGTGGGAGAGATGGCCAATTCAAATATTTTATAGAATTTGCTGCTAGGTATCGCTTATTAAAGATTAGTTCGCTTTGTTTTGTGGCAAAACACAATTAAAAGAAAAAACTTCACGAAAAATATTGAAAAAGTATGTAAAAATCAGATTTGTTATTTTGCCTAGTTCAGAAAAAAAGTGATGAGTTTACGTTTCTCACTGGTGTTATGTTATTTTATAGAATAATTTTGAATTTCATCTTTTTTTGTAAAGTACATGACCCGAGTTTTGTCATAACTTTATATTTATTCAAAAAATTTATTTATTTATTTAAATTTTAGTTGTGTCAATTTGTCACCTGACATTAGGAGAGATGGCCATGTTTTTTCGAGGTGAGATGGCCATACTGTTTAAGTTATTGGCACCCTTGAGATTCGTGTGTTCGCTAAAAAAAACATTAATTCTGTGGCAAATGACATTTTTTATGAAATATATTACAACAAGACACTCCAACAAAGATTTTCAAATTTAAATATGATCAAATAAAATAATCACTATTGTGTAATTAAATCTGAAAAACGTTTATAAACAATCATAATACAGGTCGACAAAATAAGACTTTTTTATATATATAGCGGAGTGGTTTCCAATGTATGTTTGTGAGCTGAACCCGATTCCGGGTTCCAAAATTGCGTATAACATCAGGATTTTGAATTACGTGGAGGTAAAGTCTCCAAAAACAGTGTTTTTGAGGGTTTTCATTATCTTTTTATTCCTTAACCAGACGTGCTAGACACTTCTATATATGCTTAAATTAAAGCTTAGATCGTACACTTTAAGACTTATTTACACAGGATTAAAAAAATTTTTAATTTTGAAAAAAATGGGGGTAAATACCTCAAAAATCTTTTTAGGTGACTTGAACCTAATTTTTATGTAAAATTTCAAATTTTTTTTTCCTTGCGCATATGAGTGTTAAAGTGTAAGATATAAGATTTAATTTAAGCCTATATATAGAAGCCTCTATCACAGAAAAAACTTGGACTCATTTTTGTTGCAACTCATTTTCTTTTGGGTATCGAAATGAGTATGGGACAAACTTCATGTTATTCAAAATGATATTGGCTGGAATTTCAGATTTCTAAGTTGGCATCATAAGCAGAGTAATTTTGTATTTCAATTATTGTTTCTAATATTTCAACAACACCAGAAAGATTATTTTGACCAGTACGAATATTTAGAAGTTTTTAAATAAAAATTATTTATTATTATTTACGTAGATAATAATTAATTTCATAAGTTTTTAAATTTACCGCTATTATTTAAGTTGGCAGTACCGTTCCTGTTGTCAAAACACATGTTTTCATTTTTCTAACCTAAAAACATATTTCCTTTATTATTTTATTACGCGATTACAAGCAATTTTTAATCAAATATATTAAGTCTAGCGTGTTATTTACTTCTTTGTAATTATTATATTTCATGTTTTTGTGCAAAATTATTCGTTATTTCACAATATTTTTCCATTTTTCTTTTTCTCAAAATGAAACTTGCCTGTTTCATTTTGATACTTTTACCTTAGAACTCGAAATGAAACAACCAGTTTCATTTTTGTTGCGAATCAAATTGAGTATAGAATCTATACTCAATTTGAATTCAGGTTTTTTCTGTGATCACGTCAGGTTAAGGAGAAAAATAATACTGAAAACCCTCAAAAACACGGGTTTTTGGAGACTTTACCCCTACTTTACTCAAAATCCTGACGTGATACGCAATTTTGTAACCAGGGATCGTGTTCAGGACACAAAAATAAATTGGAAACCACTCTGATATCTCAAAAAAATACCTTGTAGACTTGTTGTGTTGGTGAGACAGAAAAACAGAGAGCGCTTATCGAAGACTGGATTCAGTGCAATGATTGTCACCTTTGACTTCATGAAAATTGCACTGAATTTAATGATAAATGTTCGAAATGTGGTCAGAAGAAGAAAAGAAGACATTAATTACTTTTAATAAAGAATTCTGATAAAGCGAAAAGCCAAAGAATGATTTTAAAGTATTGGCCATCTTCCCCGTACATTCCGGGAGAGATGGCCAAACGTGTTTTTTAAAAAATATTAATTTTAAGATTGTTTACATTTAAAAAATTTATCATTTCTATTATTATTTGTAAGTTAAATGTTCAATGTTTAATTAACAATAAAAGTTAATACATAAATCACTTTTTTCTTATTTTTACAGGCCTTTAAAAAAACTATGGCCAACTCCCCCGGACTTACCCTAAAGCTTAGATCGTACACTTTAAGACTCATTTACGCGGGATTAAAAAAAAATTTTTAATTTTGAAAAAAATGGGGGTAAATACCCCAAAAATCTTTTTAGGTGACTTGAACATAATTTTTATGTAAAATTTCAAATTTTTTTTTCCTTGCGCATATGAGTCTTAAAGTGTAAGATATAAGATTTAATTTAATAGAAGTCTCTATCACGTCAGGTTAAGGAGAAAAAAAATACTGAAAACCCTCAAAAACACGGGTTTTTGAGACTTTACCCCCACTTTACTCAAAATCCTGATGTGATACGCAATTTTGTAACCCGAGATCGTGTTCAGGACTAAGAAAATATTCTAATTTTAAGAATATTATATACAGAAATTAAGTATAAAATATTCTAAAATAGGTGCCAAGTATATTATACATTAAATTTTAGAATACTTTTTTTTCGGTGTAATGAATTTTATATCATGAAATTTATATGAAATGAAATTTGCGTCACATGAATTTTATGTTAAATGTAATTTATGTAAAATTAAATTTGAGGTTTAATAATGCGAATCGTTTTTACTAGGCGCATTTTTTTATATGTATATAATATGCAGTTTTTTCGTTTCATAAAATTTTTAACCTTTCTTGAATAAAAAAAAGGTAGGTATACGCTTCTAAGAAGTGTTATCATCACTTGAGATGACTGTTGAGATTACATATGACGTCAAGGATATCTATAGACATTGAGATACAATAGTGAACTGTCACTATTATGGGGGGACATTGTACTGAACCGATATGAGTTGCGCGTGGCCCGGGGTGTACAAGAGCAATATCGAGCTTCAACTTGGACCCTTCGTCCACCTTTTCATTTGGCCCATATATAGACAGCATGGGAGAAGAGAAAGAGATACTGATACAAGATCTTGATTTCTTCGTTTGTTTTCACTCCAAGCAAAACTCTAACCCCTGTCTTCGAATATCTTGCGGGAAAAGAATATTTGAGCATTCACGAAAAATCAATCAACCTTCATAAATTTTTTTTTTTTCTAAAAGGGTTCTTGAATTTTATTTTTACCCTTAACACTTAATTTTTTTTTTAAAAGTCAATTTTTTACATATTTAATTATTTATTTGATAATAGTCAAGTAACCAATTATTTGAATCAATTAAATTTTTTTTTTCAGTGTACTCAGTGAAATTTTTGCTTGAATTGTTTGAATATAAATTTTGATTTGACTTATTACATCAAGATGTTGTACAATTATAATAAAAGATTATTAAAGGTTCGCGCGTAAAAAACAAAATTTAAAAATCTATTTTCTAATATAAAAAAAATTGTTTTATTTAGAGAAGAATAATTTGAATGAAATGAAATTTTTTTTTTTTTGAAATATTTTAAATTGATAGATTACGATGAGTTTGCAAATATAATTGTTGGAACAAAACTTTTAGCAAATCATTATTATTTTTAATTTAATGTGAAAATGAAAAACCGGTATTATCAGTTTTCTATACATACGTTTAAAAAAGATTACGTGTTTCTAAATTTCCATAAATTATTATTAGGTTTAAAACAATACAGAATCTCTACATTTACATATTTGTAGGAGTCAATATAGTTTTAGTCATTTCGCTAAATATGCAATTTTATAAGTATTTTATTTTATTTTTTTTATTTTATAATTTTTACTGGCACATGACAATGAATCCTTATACTATTTTTGAGTCCTACACAAAATATTTGCTAAATATATAGTAGTTAAAGAAATTTTTTTTTTAAATAACCTATAAACATTCTTTTTGCTACAAAAGTAAATTATACCATAAAATATAATTCCTTCTTTAAATCTCAAATTATTCTATTTTTAGGAAAGTACAACTTATTTTTTAAAATTACAGAAAATGATGATTTTGCAATTTTTTAATTTATCAAACATTTTACAATGATCTAATCATGACTTGCTCACTGTTTGTAAATAAAAAGAAATAATATAGTTTATAATGCCTCAGTTCTCGTTTATCGTTTCCACAATGCTGAAGTGCATAATATAACGGTATTAGTACAGTTTCTCATTGAAAGTTGTATAGTGTAATTGTGGTAATACTTTAAAACATTGATTTTCCTATCTTGGTAGTAAAATATTTTGCAAAATTGATAAATCACCATAGTTGTACTGTAATGTGGATTAGATTGAATATTTATTAAAGTTTAAAGTTGAAAAATAAATCATTATGTGGGAATTAGTTGAATCTGTATTACATTTCAAATTATTTTGGATCACATCTTTTGTGTTTGCTATTTATTTCTATCTGAAATTTGTAACTTACAATTATTTCAAAAAAAATGATATACCAGCAGAGGATTCAATAATACCATTTGGAAGTTTATTGCCTATGGCCCTTGGACAAAAGTGCATTGGTAAAATAATTTAATTTAAAAAAAAAAATAAATTATATACACATAAATAGTGGTAAAGTATTCGATGAAAACTAATTTATTTTCAAGGTCACTTAATCAAGGAAAGTTACGATCGTCACAAAAAACATCCTTTTCATGGATTATACATGCTTCATACACCAGAGTTAATAATAAACGATCCTGATTTAATTCGTCTTATTTTAGTGAAAGATTTTAATTATTTTCAAGATCGTGGCTTACATTTTAATAAAGAGCTCGATCCATTATCAGCTCATTTATTCTTTCTTCCTGGCGAAGAATGGAAACATCTGAGATCGAAACTTTCGCCGACATTTACCTCAGGTAAAATAAAACAATTTTTTCCCTTAATGGAAAAAATAGGTAAAGATCTTACAAGAGAGTTGGATATTTGCGTTCAAAAATCAAACACAGTGGAAATTAAGGATCTAATGGGCAGGTAATGATTGTGTAAAGTATTTGAATAATTATTTTAAAATTATTTAAAATTAAGTACGCCACAGTAAACTTGGTTGTATCTTTTTCTATTGCAAAGTTTTGATGCACATAAGTTATATCAAAAAGAGATCGTTTTGTGTATAATTTTTAGAAATGATACACGAAACGGTCTCATTTTTTGATGCAAAAAATTTAATCAATTTATATCAATCATGGCCGAATTGAATCGACTCAAAATTAAACGAATTTTTTTCAGATATTTTGGTAATAGTACAATTGCGGAGACCATTTCACTATTCAATTTGAAAATGAAAATAACAGAAAATCAAAGACAATGTGCAATTCGATAATTAAAAAGTGACAGCTTATAAACATAACCTAAAATGCATGAGAAAAAATTTGTCGATAAAATCAATATAGCCGAGCTTTTTAGAAGGTAGATGGCAGTTTTGCTTTTTATAAAAACGATTCAGAAAAAATTTAAAGAAAGAAAATAGATGAGTGCTGCCATCTACCTTCTAAAAAGCTCGGCTATATTGATTTTATCGACATATTTTTTCTCATGCATTTTAGGTTATGTTTATAAGCTGTCACTTTTTAATTATCGAATTGCACATATTGTCTTTGATTTTCTGTTATTTTCATTTTCAAATTAAATAGTGAAATGGTCTCCGCAATTGTACTATTACCAAAATATCTGAAAAAAATTCGTTTAATTTTGAGTCGATTCAATGCGGCCATGATTGATATAAATTGATTAAATTTTTTGCATCAAGAAATGAGACTACAAAAAAAATGATACACAAAACGATCTCTTTTTGATATAACTTATGTGCATCAAAACGTTGCAAAGATTTGATGCAATTTTTGGTCTCAATTTGATACTTTTAGGAAAACTGTGCGTATGTTACAAATTTTATGTAGCATTTTACAAAAATATGGTGATGATTTTTTTTTATTTGACAAATTAAAAATTGTAATAAAAATTTTGAAACTGGCAAATTGTACTCATGATTTATAGGGAATATTTATGAGTATCTGTTTTTCTATACGTAGATTCACAACTGATATGATTTCCTCTATTGCATTTGGTTTGGAATCTAACAGTTTACAAAATCCAAACACAGATTTTCGTGTGTATGGGAAAAAGTCCTTGGATACACATCCAGTGAAAGCAATCTTTGGATTCTTTTGGTCCAGATTTCTCGATATTTTGAGAGTGCCTTTTACTCCTAAAGACGTTACACATTTTTTTCAAACAGTCTTCAGTGATGTAATAGATCACAGACGAAAAAATAATACGGTCAGAAAAGATTTTCTCAATTTATTAATTCAGCTTATTGATCATGGAGAAGTCGAGCGAGATGAACAAACGAATAATTCACAAAAGAAACAACAATCTGGTAATTATTGTATTGTTGCGTATCAAATTAAATTTATCGTCATCAAGGTTAATAAAATTTTGGTTGCCTATCCAAATTGAGTACGAGTTAGCGTACGTTATACTCTTAAAATGAAAGCAATTTTTTTCTATTTTAGCAAAAATAGCCGATACAATTAGCATGTCAGCAGCATGTGCACAAAGTTTTGTATTTTTTATTGCGGGATTTGAAACTTCATCATCAACAACTACATATTGTTTACATGAATTGGCTCAAAATCTAGAGATTCAAGAAAAATTACGCAAAGAAATTAACAGTACCTTGGGAGGTCGCAATACGTTGACTTACGAAGATATACAGGGAATAAGTTATCTCGATAAAGTTGTATCAGGTAAATTTTTTATTAGTGTGGATAGATTTTGATTGAGCAAACAATTAGTTCAGATGCAAAATAACTTATTATTTGTTTATCCATCAGAAACATTGAGAAAGTATCCAATTCTTCCAATTTTGAACCGTATCTGTCTGAAAGATTACCAAATTCCCAATTCTAATTTTTATATTAAAAAAGGAATGAAAATCATTATCCCCGTATTGGGTTTGCATAATGATCCAAATATTTATCCAAACCCTGAAGAATTCAGACCAGAGCGTTTTGATTCTGATCAAGTTGCCAAAAGAAATTCATTTGCTTATTTACCATTTGGAGAAGGACCAAGGATTTGTATTGGTATTGTGCTATACAATTTAATACAATTGAATATATATAAATTATTAGATGTGCGATTCCAAGTGAGATTTTGACTTTTTCGGAGTAGGTTAACCGATTGCAATGAAACTTTGGAATTTTGTTATATATAGTAAGACTAATCTTTAACGTAAATTTCAGCCTAAAATATTTGTTAGTTTACGAGATTTGCAATAATAACAAAAAATTTAAAACTGCTATATCTTCCGTTCTAATAAACGGATTGAGGTCTACTTTTTTTTAAAATGTCAAGGAAAATGAGAGGAATAAATCTCTTTCAGAACATTTTTTTATAATTTTACAACTAAAAAAATTATTAAATAATAATTGAATAACTTTCGCGCGACTAACTAAAATTCAATCACTTAAACGCTAAAATGATCTTACCTGTGTTTTCTTTAATGTTCCAAAGGATTTTTATTGTAAATGTAAGTTTAACTTAAGAAATTTTATTAATTTATTAGTATAAACAATTGAGATTTCTGCTAGTTGACGTGCAGACGACATTGCGCACGCAGCATTCTCACATAGCCAACTGACGTGATTCGTGGACTAAATTGGCTATGTGAGAATGCTGCGTGCGCAATGTCGTCTGCACGTCAACTAGCAGAAATCTCAATTGTTTATACTAATAAATTAATAAAATTTCTTAAGTTAAACTTACATTTACAATAAAAATCCTTTGGAACATTAAAGAAAACACAGGTAAGATCATTTTAGCGTTTAAGTGATTGAATTTTAGTTAGTCGCGCGAAAGTTATTCAATTATTATTTAATAATTTTTTTAGTTGTAAAATTATAAAAAAATGTTCTGAAAGAGATTTATTCCTCTCATTTTCCTTGACATTTTAAAAAAAAGTAGACCTCAATCCGTTTATTAGAACGGAAGATATAGCAGTTTTAAATTTTTTGTTATTATTGCAAATCTCGTAAACTAACAAATATTTTAGGCTGAAATTTACGTTAAAGATTAGTCTTACTATATATAACAAAATTCCAAAGTTTCATTGCAATCGGTTAACCTACTCCGAAAAAGTCAAAATCTCACTTGGAATCGCACAGATAATTAATAACTCTATTACCATCCTTGTTATTAATATTTCAGGAAAACGATTTGGGCTTCTACAAGTAAAAGTTGCTTTAATTAAAATATTGACAGAGTTTAAAATTACGATTTGTGAAAAAACTGAAATTCCACTGAAGCCAACAAAGCGTAATATACTTATTATGCCGGAAAGTGATGTATTTTTAAGAGTTGAGAGATTAATAAAGTAAATTTTTTTGGAATGGTATGTCTTAACTTCAATCTTTTATAAACATAAGCCTATGTAGGATTATCTTATAGAGGCATTTATGCGTCAATGTGTGTATTTATATGATGCACCCAAAAAAAAGTAATCTTATACTTAGAGGAAAATTCCTCTTCTAATATCCTCTAAATATTTCCTCTTAAAACAAGATTATTCAATTGAAATGTAGAATATTTTTATTCTTCATTTTAATGGAAGAATGACAAAAGGATTCCTTTTGTATTTTCCTCTTTCATTAAGATTTTCCGTTTTAAATTTAGAAGATTTAAAAAAAGGAAACGGAAAAAAATAATGTAATCGTTTGATCCCTTTCCCTGGGTATGATAGTTGTGAAGTTGTTTTTTAACCTTTCAGTTTTAATATTTCTGGTAAAATGTCAACAAAAAGGACAAAAAAATGGATTTGCTTTATTAAAAATACAGAAAATATAGTTAAATTCAAATTAAATGAATATTTTTAACGCTATTTTTAGATTTAAAAAAATTTGGATATTTCTTGTGAAATTTTACTACTCAGGTAAATAGAAATACTATAACCCCATTTTTGAATCTTTCGAATTTTTTAAATCTTTTTATTTACTTTTTTAAAAAAGTTTTAAAACGTTAAATAATTTCATATATGAAATTTTTTTCTGTCCTATAAAAAATGTTAACTTTTAAACATATCATCATGTTTTAAAATTGTTTTTGCGCTGAAAATCTCGTTGATCATTACAACTGATTAATGAAAACTTATTTTTTGTATTTTAATTATCAATATAAAATGTTGATAATTAACCAAAAACATGACATTGTTAATGTTATATTAAAAAACAATTTTTATTATTATATTGAAATGAACTATTATAATTTTACTTAATTTTAATTTAAAAATGTATTTTCTGCAAAGATTTTATTATTTGATTGAAATTATAAATATTTTATTGATGGCTTTGACATTAAAAACAATTTTACGAGGTTTAGATGTCGACATTTAATTTAAGAGGAAAATCCTCTTAAATGAAGAATAATAATTTTGATACCAAAATTAAGAGGAAAATATGCATTTATTTTAGAGGAATCCTCTAGATTGAAAATTACTTTTTTTAGGGTGTGTACATATTCCACGCCAAAGTGAAAGTCCATTTGCAATTGCATCTCCAATTTTTTTGAGATTTTTTTACTTTTAGTATTAATTGAGACTAGTTTCCATGAATTTCTTCAAATTTTTTTAGCAAGCCGTTTTCGAGTTATGGAATTTTGAAAATTGGATAATTTTCATGACTTTTAATTTTTGAATGCTCATAACTTCCTTAAAAATGCATCAATTTTAAAAGTCTTTTTTTTTTTTTTTAATGTGTGTTTTTAAACGTACTTCACTTTTAAGCCTAGCCCGATAACGGGCAAACAATTTTTACAATATTTTCGGAATTTTTCAAAAATTTTTGAATTTTGAATTTTTTAAAAATATTTTTGGTTTTTTTTTTATAATACGTACTTTTATGTATTTTGATGCGCTGATTACGAAAATCATATAGTGACAATACCCAAAAATTAGATTTTTATTGTGAAAACCATAAAAAAGTCTCAAAATTTATATGGTTTTTTTCGTTTATCGGGTAATTTGATGTTTAGGAATTATACTAGCAGATCATTAGCCGTAGTGAATTTTCATTTATGCACCCTCAATTCTATTCACTCAACCCTTCTTGTTCATTTTCTAATGAGACATATAAACATTATCTTATGAAAAAATTTGTTAATTGACTATTATTAAATAAATATTTCATAATTATTATTTGCCTAAACATTTATATCTCAAAACTTAACGATTTTATTTAAATCGTAATTTATAATCGAGAATTGATTGGTTTACCAAAAAGTAAAATAAAAATAAAATTATTATTTTTGTAATGTTAATAATAACAATAATGATAGTAAGAATTTTAATAATAGGTAATTAATTATGGTAAATAATAATAATAAAAAAAATTATTTATGACAAAAAAACCAATTGGGAATGATAACAATGAATTATAATAAAATAATAAGTATATATAATTTAATATCTGAAAATCAATCGAATTTCAGAAAAATAAGTTTTTATAGTATTTCTAGAATGATACAACACAATTCACGATGAAAAAAAAAAAATAAACAAATCCCATTGGAAAGCACCAAAGCCACTCAATGACCGCATGGACAGGAAAAGCTTAAAGCTTCTCTTTGTGCTTTTGTGGTTAATACGATCCAATTCAGGTCTTTCTACTTGGTCTAGGGCAACGTAGTGGTATCAGAATCCTAAATCCTGTTTTGCGTTCATTGTCCACCGCCTATCCAGCTTTTCGTCCTTTCAAAACTTCCGAAGCTCCCCATATATATATGTATCTCCCCCTTTTCTATTTGTACATACGTGCAAATGTTTTTATGCACTCAAACTTACGTTTACGAATTTGTCACATGTACTTGTTGAATGTAAAATGATCTTGAATCATTATTCATTTCAATAATACTTGAGATAAACTTTTGAAATATAAAAAATTTTTAGTTTTTAATTAGAAAACGTTTTATTGATTTATAGCAATAAAAATATTTTATTTTGAGAAATTTGTTTTGTTAAAAAAATGTACGATTTCATTAGAAGTTTCAATTAATAAAGATATAATTTTTCTTTTATTTATATTTAATTGTATTTTGAAGGGACTGCGTTTACAGGGAAAATAGGTCGTGGAAATTTTTTAGTTTTCTCTACATGAGAAGGTCGGTATTTGTTAGAAATGATAATTTTTTTTGCAGAGATGTTTCACTTTTAAAGATCTTTATTCAATATTAAATAAATTCACTTGTTTTTAGGGTTCCGTACTCGGTTCGGAACCCTATTAATATCGGTTTTTTTGAAATCGTGTACCCCCCCCCCCTAGCGGCCACATAAATTTATCTGGAGGGCTGAAAATTAGTACACATATGTATTTTCGCGTGTAGATTACAGGAAAATTATAGCGAACTTGATTGGAATTGATTAACATAGCGTTGTCAAGGAAAAACCATGAATTTTTACGAAAAATGCCTAAAAATGACTATGTACCCCCCCCCTAGCGGCCACATCTTTTGACATAAAGAGCTCAAATTTGATACACTTACGTATTTTTACGTGAAAATTACAGGAAAATTATAGCGAACTTGATTCGGATTAATTTACATAGCGTTGTCAAGGAAAAATCAAAAATTTCGAAAAAAATAATTTATTCTCCCTAGCGCACACAATATTCAACCCAGACAGATCATATTTAGTATACAAATGTATTTTTACGGGAAAAATACAGGGGAAAAAAAGCGGTCACGATTAGAGTTGATGATTAACTTTTTATCAAGTTTTTCAAGAAAAAATGACAATTTTAGGAAAAAAATGTATTTTTCCACCAAAAACGAACAAAATTTTATTTAAAGGAAATTAAATTTATATATTTTAACGTATTTTTACGTGTAGATTACAAAAAAAATATAGCAAGGATGATTGGAGTTGATTTTTCTGGAATTAATAAACAAATTTTATTTTTTAGATAACTTTCGATTTTTCCTTGACAAGCAGCTACTAGCCTTATATCAATATCTTAAGTTTTATCTCTTTTTGACTTAGAAAGATAAAATTTAATATTCAATATATTTTTAAAATGTAAATACAATAAAAATATTGCGAGTTGAAATAAAATTATGTTTCTTATATTTTTTTAGTAAAATATTTTTTAAAAAATAAAATCGGACAAGTGCGAGTTACACTCGCACTGAAATCGAGGGTTCCGTACTCGAAGCGAACTTATTTGGTATAAAAACAAATGTTTAAAAAATATGTGTTGTATGACAACTAATATAAGTGATACGAAGAGGAACAATTTTCTTGAATTTTACAAAATTGTTCCTTTTTGTATCACTTATATTAGTTGTCATACAACACATATTTTTTAAACATTTGTTTTTATACCAAATAAGTTCGCTTCGAGTACGGAACCCTCGATTTCAGTGCGAGTGTAACTCGCACTTGTCCGATTTTTTTAGTTACATGATTAAAGTATAAAATTAAAAAAAAAAAATTCTAAATTTAAATAAAAGAAAAATTGTTTAACAATTTACATTTCAATAAAAATGTTTTTCTGAGAAAATTACTGACTTCGCATTATATAAATTCTTATTAAACAAAAGAAAAAAAAGTTGCATAACATATTTACATTACGAGCATAATTGACTATAAAAAAATTTATTTTTAAATTTTTTACAATATAGATGATTTATGATATTATCAGTATTCGTCGTATCGACAGTGAGTCACTCAGGTCACGTAGAGAGTTTATCCAGAGAAGAATTTCTCTTTACCAACACTAATGGTAAGAAAATAAAATAGTTACATTTTAAAAAATTTATAATATTTTAGTGATAAATTATTTTATAATAACGTTAAAGAAATAACATAAATGTTAAAAATTAATTTTTAATTTAATATTAAAATTTTTTCTACAAAGAAAAAGAATTAAATTTGGTGTATTTATTTTAATAAAATAAAATTTTTGAAATTTTAATTGCAATACTCACAGTATGTTAAACATTTGTTTTATACACAATTAAATAATTTTATTTAAATAAATTATACGTAAAGTAAAGTAGAAATGATTCTTTTATCGGATTGCCATCCAAAAGAATTTTCATTTTAACTGAAATATCGTTCATCATTTACTCAAGAGATGGCAGCACTTTGATCTCTTAACACAAAAAATTCTTAAATTTTTAAACAATGGTTATCGGTTTTAAAAAAAATACATATTAAATTCTGACTGTATTGTTTTATTAAATGATAAAAATACTCTCTAAATCTGAATTAGTAAAAATGTTTACTAATTTGCAATAGTGACTCACTTTTTGCTTCTCAATTAGTAAAATTTTACTAATTATTAGTAACTTTTACTAACAATTAGTAAAATTTAATTAATTCTAAAGCAAAAAGTGAGTC